CACCTGTATTAACACCTGTAACACCTCTAACACCTCTAACACCTGTATTAACACCTGTATTAACACCTGTATTAACACCTGTAACACCTGTAACACCTGTATTAACACCTGTAACACCTGTAACACCTTTATTAACACCTGTACACCTGTATTAACACCTGTATTAACACCTGTATTAACACCTGTAACACCTGTATTAACACCTGTAACACCTGTACACCTGTATTAACACCTGTAACACCTGTAACACCTGTATTAACACCTGTAACACCTGTATTAACACCTGTATTAACACCTGTAACACCTGTAACACCTGTATTAACACCTGTACACCTGTATTAACACCTGTATTAACACCTGTATTAACACCTGTTACACCTGTATTAACACCTGTATTAACACCTGTATTAACACCTGTAACACCTGTATTAACACCTGTAACACCTGTAACACCTGTATTAACACCTGTAACACCTGTATTATCTGTAACACCTGTAACACCTGTAACACCTGTATTATCTGTATTCCCTCTCTTCAGTGTGAGGAGTGTGCAGAGCCCTGCCTCCTGCCCCGCCCCCTCGGCTGTTCTCACCGCTGTTCCCTGCGCTGCCACCCCTCCCTCTGCCCCCCCTGCGGTTTTATGACCAAGCAGCGCTGCTACTGCCGGATCATCGTGCTGTTCATCGACTGCACGTAAGTTTATCTTTTTAAAATTATTTTTTTAATGTATTTATATATTTTATTATTCTTTTAAAGTTATTTATTTATTATTATTATTTATTTTTAAATGTAATTATTCGTATGTCTTTTATTCCATTTAAGTAATTTTTTATGTATTAATTATTATTAATTATTTATCAAATGCATGTTAGCAAAATAACTTATATATTATTTATTGATCAAATTAAAGATCTGCTCTACATCCACTGCTCTTAAGAAGAAACATATAACTATATATATATATATATATATAGTTATATCAGCTAGCTGGTGACAGAGAGGAGCGTTTAGCAAACCAGAGCTAAAATAGGTTGAAAAAACGTCTAAAAGTCACAATAAAATGTACAAATATTAACATTTTCTGCAGGAAGTGGACGTCCGCTGATGCAAAGACAAAGATGGAGTTGGGCTCCTGCAACAACCAGTGTCCTAAAGAGGTACACACACACACACACACACACACACACACACACACACACACACACACACACACACACACACACACACACACACACACACACACACACACACACACACACACACACACACACAATATATCCTTCTTTTTCCCCCATCAGTATCAATAATCAAAGATGTTCAAAGTCACTGCAGGAAGAACAGAATACCCTCTGTCCTCCGTCCAGTAATCAATTTAACTCTGTGGCGCCAGACACACACACACACACACACACACACACACACACACACACACACACACACACACACACACACACACACACACACACACACACACACACACACACACACACACACACACACACACACACACACAGTCTCTCTGTTTCACCTGGGAACGATTTAGCTTTTTCATTCTGTCACTTACTGGCACTGACACACACACACTCTCTAATGTTTGTTTGAAGTGTGTGTGTGTGTGTGTGTGTGTGTGTGTGTGTGTGTGTAGTAACTTAAGCTCCTAAAAGCTTCGTCACACACACAGTTGGAATAACAAACACGAGAAAGTGGATATTTATATTTCTTTTGACGCTTCAGCATTTCTTTAGCAGATCCAGAATCAAGATGTCAGAACTTCATCGTAGCTTCATATTATGTTATTGTATATTGTGTGTGTGTGTGTGTGTGTGTGTGTGTGTGTGTGTGTGTGTGTGTGTGTGTGTGTGTGTGTTGTGTGAATGAGTGTGTGTGTGTGTGTGAGTGATGTGTTGTGTGATGGTGTGTGTGTGTGTGTGTGATGTGTGGTGTGTGTGTGTGTGTGTGTGTGTGTGTGTGTGTGTGTGTGTGTGTGTGTGTGTGTGTGTGTGTGTGTGTGTGTGTGTGTGTGTGTGTGTGTGTGTGTGTGTGTGTGTGTGTGTGTGTAGCTGGCGTGTGGTCACCGCTGTAAGCAGATGTGTCATCCAGGTGTGTGTGAGGAGAAATGTCAGCAGAAGGTGAAGGTCAGGTGTCCCTGCAAGAGGATCAAGAAGGTACACACACACACACCTGTCACACACTTCATAGCCTCGAGGCCCCGTATACATACGTTAAGGGTGTGTGTGTGTGTGTTGCAGGAGTTCTTGTGCTCAGATCAGTGTGCGGTTCAGTGTGACGACGCCTGCAAAGACCAGAAGAAGAAAGTCAGCCAGGTACGTACACACACACACACACACACACACACACACACACACACTTGTACACTCAGACCAACACCTGGATACACACTCACCAATATGTGTGTAACTGTGTGTGTGTGTTCAGGTGAAGGAGGCGGAGCTTAAAGCGGCTCAGGAGGAGGAGCAGAAGAAGCTTCAGGTGAGTCTGAACACACTTTTTATTATCTCAGCTGAACAATTCTATGTTAAATCCTACAGTTTTTTTTTATATATAATCCCGTGGTCAAATTCTTAATAATTAAGAAATTAAATTTAAAAAAGTAACTAATAATTAAGATATTTAAGGTGTTTTTGTGTTTTCAGGAGGAGCTGGAGGCGTTTGAGAAGCGCCAGCAGCGGGGGGGCAGGAGGAGTAAGAAGAGGGGGAGGAGGGGGGAGGTGGATGAGGAGGAGGGAGGAAGAGGAAGATGGGGGAAGGTCTTCCTCTTCATCTTCGTCCCGGTGGCCGGCGCTCTGATGTCCGCCGGAGCTTACTACCTCCTGAACGCACCCTGAAAACAAAACAGAAGCTGCCTCATTGTTTATTTACCTCTCGGATGTGCTTTTATTTTGGCGAGTCTTCCTGTTTCAGACTTATTTCTTGTTTTGTTTTTGGTTAAAAGAAGTGATAGCGGTCGGGGAGCTAAAGCAGATCCATGAGACTTCAGTAAAACATTTTTTTATTTGAGCTCAATTTCTTTTGTAACTTTTCAAATATGTTAGGAAAAGACTAAATATTAAGGTGAAGTCAAAAGGATAATTTGGGTTATTTGGAAGTTGTCAGAGGAATTCAAACCATTGAAAAGTCAGTCATTTAAGCTGCTCTTCGTTGCCTCAATTTGACTTTCCTTTTAGTTCAGAATCACCAAATATTGAATAGTTTATCATACTTTTTCAGACTTTAAATGATAAAGATCGGGGACTTAAAGCCGTTATCTTACACTCTTTAAATCCACCAGACTCCATTCGTAACAATATCGTACCTTGTGTATCGTTGCCTAAATCACATGTTATTTTGTGTGTTAATGTCAGACTTTTAAGGGTTAATTTGGATTTATGAATTTGTAAAAAATACAAATTCTTCATAATATAAAGACTTTTTTTCCCATTATTCTTAAAAAAACGAAAACTTAACATTGCCTTTAATTTCATATAATGGCAAAATATACGTTTTTCTTATTAGCATTCTTTAATTACCCTCATAAAGAAAACTCAATATCTAAAATGTAAGATAAAGATGCAATTAATTCAACAAAAAACAGATGAAATATTACGAGTAAGAACATTTAAATATAAGTTAAGGAAATACAGAAATCTTCAGTTAAATTGAAATCTTACCATATAAGTTCTAATGTTATTATACAACTGTAATACTGTTTTTATTTAATGGAGTCTGGGAGATAAGGACGTCCTCACTTTAAACCACGCTAACCATTTGTAGTGAAATTTGTAGTTTAAATGTAGTTTATTTTGGTGGGAAATTAGATAAAGTTGGATTTCAAATTCTTACCAATGCCACAAAAAAAAAGCGTATAAGATATCTAAACAATTTTATTTAAATTAATTTCTAAAAGTAATCAAAGAATAAATAATGAAATCTTTACTTTAAGGTTAAATCGATGAAAATGTAATGAATTCTCACCTTTTCATTAATTAGTCATGTATCTGTATTATTTGGGCGTATTTTGACTTGTTTAGTTATGACGATGCTTCCTTCAGATACAGAAACGTTATTTAAATTTGGTCCTAAAATGTTAAATTTGTGAAGTTCATTTTCATTTTTTCTGCCTTTTTTTTTAATACTGAACAATAAAATGTATAAAAATATAACTGTTGCATTATTTTATTTTTTGAATATATAATGATTCGTTTTTTCTGTAAGTTGTGTAACAGGAATTTAGCTGCATGTGTTTACAGCCATCAACAGAGGGGGCGCTGTCTCTCTATAGAGCTGTAAAGAATTAAAGGTATTTTAACGACATTTATTGGGACACAAACAATACTTTAGATAAAACCCATTTAGCTGAATAAAAATCAGTATTATAAGTTGTATTTCTGAAATGTTCTGCATTATTTGTGAACTGTTCCTTTAATTTTTGAGGGAAATTATTATATTGATTAATCGCACCACGTAAACAAATGGTCTAGTTTTATTTATTTGTTAAACATTTTTAAAAAACTCGTTTTTTTCACGTAGGAAAAACTCGACCAAGTTCAGTTTTGTCTTTTTATGATTTTTAAACTCATATTTTTTTAATTAATTTTTTTGCATAACTGTAAAATGTAAATCATCAAAAAAGTTTTTTGTTTTATAAATATATTTTTTAAGTATCTGGAAATGTCAGGATGTCCTCACTGTGATGGTCTTAAAACGTGGTCCTCTTAAAGCCATAAAAACAAACACATTATTTAGGTAAAATTGCGTAACCCAAAAAGTGTGTTTTGGGGATTTAAGACATGCACGAGGCTCAAATCCCAGCGTGCACTTGACTGTAAATTGGTCACGTGCAGACCACCTGGGGGGTGGAAGGGGGGGCGGTGGGTAGGTGGGCGGAGCCAAGTGTCTCGCGCTGGGTTAGTTCGGCGGCTGCTCTTGTGCAGTGGGCAGAAGGATGGTCTCGCGCTTAGCGGCGGGTCATGTTGTCCGCGAGCCGGGAGACCTGTCCGCGTGTCACCTTCAGCGGACTGGCTGCAGCACCGGTGAGTGTGTGTGTCCGTGTGCGTGTGTGTGTTTGTCCGTGTGTGTGTGTCCGTGTGTGAGTGTGTGTGTGTCCTTCACTGCTCTGGTTCTCCGTCCTCTTTCTGTATCTGTACTTATATATACTGTATATTTCTGTTTATATAAGAGTGTAGTCTCAATAAAACCTCTTATATCCGGCAGAAAACCTAGAAATGGAAACTCTTATTTAAGGCAGTCATGTATTTTATTTCAAACTAGAGCTGCAAAACATTGTAACATTTAATGTATTCCTATTTACTCATTTGCTTGCTGGATTTAGTTTTTTACTCATCCGGTTCATATGGAAACCTTTAACTACATGCATGACACATGACTTCAATTAATGCATTATTAACCTAATTGACTAGAATACAATTAGGATCTTTTGTAATAAATATATAACTATAAAGACATTCAGACATGTTCTGCTGTTTAAGCATTACATATACCTGATGCATTATTAACATCAAGAAAACATTTATAATGAGGACTTTCTTCATCCCAAACTACAGGGTTGCTGCATCTATTGATTATTATGCAGATTATTGTCTGGATTTATTCCACTAAATTATCTTTTTTTCCATCTTTCTATGTATAATTATTTATTTGTAGTCATCACATTTATTATTTGTATTATCTGTTGATCATCGAGTCCTTGCAGCTTTGTCCTAAACATCCCATAATTATCAGAAACCATTTCATACAACTGAGTAGAGTTAGATTTGTCTTTTAGTTAAGTCATAACTAAGTCTTAAATAAACAGTTTTCCAGCAAAAGGATTTATTTAATATACAGTTTTTTACATTAAAGATACAAAAAAATATTAAAATAAAGTAAAAAACTAAAGATTATTTTCACAATATACTTTTCTGCCTATGTTTTATTGTCGATAAAAGTTCCAAAAATAGTGAAAAATGCTGTTATAATATCCGACAGTAAAAGATAACGTAGAAAAACACAAGATATCAAGTCGAAGAAAAAGCATAAAATAATCAAATGGATTCAGACTAACTTAAATCCTAAAAGACTTTATTTAAAAATATCTTATATTCATTGAAATATAAGCGATGCTTTGATATCACATTTTAATTAATCTGAATATGATTATGTTTTATTAGTGAATCATTTTTTTTTTTTTATTCCCGGAAGTTGAGCTGAAGCAAATTATTAATCATAAAGGGATGCATTTTGCATTCATTTATTTTTTTATTCACAGTTTTTTTCTTGATTCATTGACCAAATAACGACTTGATTTATAAAGAAAATAAACCACAATATTTGTATTGTACTGAAATTATCGTTTGTGATTCCCAAATAAAAGCCTTGAGCCAAAAGGAATACAAAATATTCAGTTCTGTGTTTGTAAACGGCTTAAAATAATAAGTGTGTGTGTGTGTGTGTGTGTGAGAGAGAGTGTGTGTTTGTGTGTGTGTGTGTGTGTGTTCAGGAAATCAATAAATCTTTGTATTGAACAGAAGCCAGAGTGTGTGTGTGTGTGTGTGTGTATTTACAGGGAGTTGCTGTGTGGTGTCGAGTGTCGCTTTTAAAAATAACTCCTCAACGGAAATTCTGAGAGGACAGAAACCCCCCCCCAACACACACACACACCCACCCCCACACACACACACACATATTACAAATAACCGGAGGTTTAAAGGGTCAGCGTGGCGTTCCCCGAACTCAGGCCCTTATTCTGTAAACACTGTTAGCGTCATACAGAAATCTACATTTGGACATCATTTCGGGTTATTTAGCTTCCTTGCTAATGCTAATGCTTATCATTTATGTTTCTCAAAAAGATATGAAGCTCTCGAACCCACGACAGCAACAACAAAACATACGTACACCGTGAGCTTCGCTCTGATTGGTAGAAACCAACATTTTAACAATGCTAAATTTAGTCAGTTTGATGCTAAAGCTTTCCCGATGTTTGGTTAGACAACCGATACTTAATTTTAAAGAACAAGAATGGCTAACGTTTATCACCTTGCAACAACAAAACCTAACCAAGTTAATGTTAATTTTTACATATAGAGGGATAAGTGTAAAATATATGTTGTGCCAGTAACAATAAGGCTCTCAACCGAAAACCGCTAACAACTAAAAGTACTGTTAGCTTCGCTCTGATTGGTTGAAACCAACATTTTAACGTATTTAAAAGCTAAAGTCAACTCCCAAAAAATAACAAAGTTTGTAAACTATAAGAATTACCAGGAAGCTAATGGCTAAAAACAGCTAACGTTGATCACCAAACGTCAACAAAAACATACGTAAACTAGAAAGAAACATGTCAACAACAAAATAAGCTAATAAAACGTTGAAACACAATGATAGCCTACAGCTAAAAGCTTTGCTAACGAAGCGCTAGGTGTAAGATTTGAAGTCGTAACTTTTGACTAATTATTTTTGCTTTAAAATGTTAGCGGCTCATATACCTGGCCATCGTTGTGAATTACGCACAAAAAACGTGTGTGCGTTCCTATTTTTTTTTTCTATAAAATATTCCTATTTTACTTTAAAATATTCCAGTTTTTTCAATAAAATAATTCTATTTTTCTTTAAAATAATTCTATTTTTCTTTAAAATATTCCTATTTTTCCAGCTAAACCAGCTGTGTGTTTCCTGCAGACTCGTGGACCGGATGTCGGGATGGGCGTGGAGGCGTGTCCTCACAAGCTGGGCTCGACCAATCAGCTGCGACTCCTCCTCTTCATCCTGATCCCCACCATCAGCCTGCTGGCTGGCCTGCTGCTCGTCCTCGCACTCACAGGTACAGAAACACTGATATATTAGCGTTTTTAAAGTCAGATTCACCTTTTCAGAGCCTTTACAGGTACGTTTTTTAAAGGTCTCATATTATACTATTTTTAGGCATATATTATAGGTCTCAGATATATAAAAAAACATGTCTGTGTTGTGGTTTGCTCAAAATACCAAGCAGATCATGCATTTTAGACATCCCTCTATTATCCCTCTATTTCAGCCTGTTACTAAAGTGCGGATTCTGGGTCCGTAGCTTTAAAAAAAAAAAAAAAGAGTAGAACTCATGAGGAGAATTCTCCCAGCAGAAACTCAGCTAAATGCTGCCGTGAATAAACTCCATATCATGTTCCAAACCACATCAAGGATTCTCTCTGAAACAGTATGGAGCTCAAACTCTTTCTCTCTCTCAGGTTTACCACAAGGTGACTACCTTTTGATTTCCTGCTTCTTCACACATACTCTCTCCAGTACAGGTTAGCTCTGAGTGTTAGCATGCTAATGTAAACACAGACCATATTACTTCCAGAACACGTCTCATTGTTTCTGACAGCAACGTTTCTGATTGGCCCGTGGGTGTAAAGACCGCCCACATTTTAGTAATGTCTTCGTGATGCAGCAAATCTGGATCAGCTCCGTTGTTCCCCCGTTTTTAGAGATGTGGGTACGGAGGAAAAGAGAGAGGGGTTTCTCCTGACACACCGGGGACACACCGGGGACACACCGGGGACACACCGGGGACACACCGGGGACACGTAGTGATGTAGAGAAGACATCAAAAAAGTGACTTTTGCATGATAGGAGACCTTTAAAGTCTGAATCACCTGAAACTTCTCCTAAACTTAGGTGCATAATGCCGTTACTTTGTCAGGTGACGCATTTTATGTCGTAGAAAAGAACGTTCAAATCTCTTCAGTTTGTTGTTATTTTCTGTGATGATTAAAAACTAAACTGGATAAACATGTGCGAAGGATTTTAGGACTGATGGTGTGTAGGAGGAGAGATGGTGTGTGTGTGTGTGTGTGTGTGTGTGTGTGTGTGTGTGTGTGTGTGTGTGTGTGTGTGTGTGTGTGTGTGTGTGTGTGTGTGTGTGTGTGTCCATGTCCATGTGTCCTCTGGTCACCATGACATCGTCCCCTCGACCAATCAGAGTTACAGACATTCACTGAAAGAATTTCAAATATTTACACTGGCAGTAAAACTCTCTTTTCTCCTTTATTCTGGTTAGGGTTATTACTCGTCTTTATTGTCTTCATTGTTTTCATTTCCACCTTCCTCTTCCTCCGTCTGGACTTCCCTCTTCTTCATCTTCTCCGTTATCTTCCTCTGCGCTTCATTCCTCTTTTCTCCATTTATTTATTTATTTTTTTTTTTTGTCGTCTTTCTCTTTTAATCTTTTTGTATTTTCTTCCTTCTGTTGTTGTTTTTTTCTATTTCATTTTTATTTATTTTTCTTTCTGTCTTTCTCTTTTTGTTGTAAAACATTTTCATTATTTAGCATTTTATTTATTTATTGTACACTTCTTTTTCAGTCTGTTTTATCTTCTTTCTTGTTTATATAATGTGTTGTTGTCTTTGTTTGTGTTTTCCTTTACTAAATATTTGATAGTGCGTTTTCTATCCGTCTCCTTTTGAAACTCTTGGGAAACGAATCACAGAAACATTTATTGTGTTTCTCAGCGTGAGCTTTCTCTCTTTCAGCCTCCCTTCATCTGCAGCTGCTTTCTGTTGTTGCCTCCACGACTCATTACACACACACACACACACACACACACACACACACACACACACACACACACACACACACACACACACACACACAGATCTCTTAGTTTTCCTCCGTCTTGTTTCTCAGTTTTTTCCCTTATTAAATAACGATTTAATATATTAAATATATTTAATGTACAACATGTTTCACCCTCTGTCTGGAACCAGAGCCCATTCTGCTCTGTTGTGATTGGTCAACCGCTCAGAGATGTCCCACCCCTTAGCCTGATCATCTTGTTGTCATACCTCTCTGTGATTGGCTCGGAGCTGTGAGAGCTGTGATGTAATTGGCTGGATTCTTCTTCTTTTTCTTCTTCAGGTATATTTGGCGGCGGCGTCCCCCTCCCCTCCCCGAAACCCATCGCCGACAGTGACCCCGGCTACCATGGCAACAGCACAAGCCCCTCCCCCTCCCTGGAGACGGAAAACGTTACGAACTCTTTACGAAACTTTAGCGAAGGAAACGTCACGGCGTACGATGTTAGCGTTAGCACCGCCGCCACCGCTACTTCCTACTCCTCCTCCTCTCAGGCCACGCCCACTCAGCCCTACACAACGACTCCTGATTGGCTGACGTCTGTGACATCACTCAGCACCGCCTGGCCAATCAGCAGCACAGCAGCGACGGAATCAGGTACAGGAAGCATGGGAAATGTAGTTTTTTTGTATCACACACAAATGGAATCAATTAAATAGTGATATTTAAAAATAATAATAAACAGGAAACAATTGATGTCGGGAGGTTCTGGGAAATGTAGTCCTAAAGTGTTTTGGTTTTTGTGTCGCCAATATAGTGCTGTAGTCTTTGTTTCACCACACAGAATGTTTTTTGTATTAATTATAGGTTTTTTATTAATGTTTTATTTCATTTTCAGTTATTATTCTCCCTCTATTTCCTTTTTTTTCATTCTTAGTTTTTACTTGAAATCTTTTTTTTTTAATTCTCACATTTTAGTATTATTATTTGTATTTATTTAGTGCAGCCAGTATTTGAAGTGTTTTTCAAAATAAAAGTCCCGTGAAATCTATAGGCTAAACTCACATTTATTAGATTTTTTCTACAGATATTTGGATTCAACATAGATGATGCTGCAGTTTTCATGTCCTTGAAAAACTACAAATCCCACAATCCTCTGTGGTCTCTTATCTTTGTGTCCTTTTCTGCCAAAAAACGTCTCCATCACTGCAGAACAGACGACGAGTCTGAGCTGAATCCAGATCTACTGTCCTCTAATGTCCTCAGAGTGTGTGTGTGTGTGTGTGTGTGTGTGTGTGTCTGTGTGTGTGTGTGTGTGTGTTTAAAGATTCTCCTCGTCTCTGTGTCTGTCCTCTGTGTCTCTTTCTCTCTGTATTAAAAGTCGAGGTGAATGCTAATGAGCTGCAGACTGTCCTGTCCTCTGATTGAACGCTGGGCGGTCACCTGACTCGTGCTGCGTCTCAGTTCGCGTACTTTTGTGTTTACTCGCGCTATTTTAGGTGCATTAGTATGACACATTTATTATAATTTATTTTAAACAATTTCATTTTGACATTTAACACAAATTCATTAATTGTTTAAAAATGTTTTCATTTCGAATTTGGCGTCTCTTTTCAAATATTAACTTATTTTTAAAGGATACCTTATTATTGTGAAAATTCAAGAATTGCAGTTCTGAATCAGCTGTTCAAAAAGAAATTACCTAATTGTTAAAAAATAACTCTATTTGTGTAAAATACTTTTTTCAAATGACATGACCTTTAAACTCGCCCCCCCTTTTTTTTTCTTTATACAAATCACAAAATGTTCTAAAATTATCTCACTTAAAAAAGATATATCTTACGTATTCTTCATTAACAATCACCATGTTGTGTTTGTAACTTTATTAAAGATTAAAGTAATGAAAGTGTTTCTGTTATAAACGTGTCCTCAGGTGTGTGTCAGCTGATTGATGAGCCTCAGTGCAACAACATGTTGCCTTACAACCTCACCTGGCTGTCCTCCTCCGTCGCTGTGGTGAAGAGCTCTGAGGTCGACATGTTGCTACGGTAACCACACCCAAAACACACCTGTTGACACCCAAAAATACACCAAAAATGTGTGGAAGAATTTTTTTTGTATAGAATAGAATATTTTTAGGAATTATTTGTAATGTTTTTTATTGGACTGTGCTGCAGGTTCTTCGGCTACCTGAGCAGGTTGTCGTGTTATCGGCACATCATGCTGTTCGGCTGTTCTCTGGCGCTCCCAGAATGCATCGCTGACACTTCGCACAACAGGTGAGACATCACGGGAAACTAAACATGGACAACGTGTTGGAGCGCTGGCCAATAGGAGCGCAAGTGTTAGGTAGTGATGTCACTGAGTTCCAGAAGTAAACAAATGAGTGAAGGAGCTTATTGTAAAGATGACAGATGGAGAGCGTTCTGGAAATGTAGGCATCACATTTGAGCTAGTTATAAAAGTATTTATTGCATAATAAACACACACTGTTGCTCCATATGAGTCTCAGCTGTTCACACTGTAAGTGAGACAGCAAGTGTGTGTGTCTCTGTGTGTGTGTGTGTGTGTGTGTGTCTGTGTGTGTGTGTACGCCAAGAATAACATCATTACACACTCTGACATTTGAACACACACACATTTGTTTCGCTGACGGTGGCTTCGACTCTGCATGACCTCTGACTGAAGGATTATGGGAACCTGAGTTTTATTGCTGCTACTGACACGTGTTTGGTGTGTGTGTGTGTGTGTGTGTGTGTGTGTGTGTGTGTGTGTGTGTGTGTGTGTGTGTGTGTGTGTGTGTGCGTGTGTGCGTGCGTGTGTGTGTGTGTGTGTGTGTGTGTGTGTGCATGTGTGTGTGTGTGTGTGTAGACGGGTCGTGCTGCCCTGCTTCTCGTTCTGCGAGGCGGCGAGGGAAGGTTGTGAACCTGTCCTTCAGATGTTTAACGCCTCGTGGCCCGACTTCCTGCGCTGCTCTCAGTTCAGCAACACAACCTTCGCTTTACCTTCATCATCATCATCATCACCTTCATCATCTTCTTCATCACCACCACCATCATCATCATCATCATCATCATCGCCCACGGCAACAGCAGTCCCCGCCACTTATTCCTGTTACACACCGAGACAGATCAAAGGGAAACCATGTGAGTAAAAAAACCACACATTTATTTTATTTGTATTTTACGCTCTGAACTGATGACATCAATGCTCCTCCCTCTCTCTGATTGGTCGGCAGCTCTGTGCGGCGTGAACGACCACTTCCTGTGCGCGACGGGGATTTGCGTCCCCCAAAAACTGGTGTGTAACGGCTACAACGACTGCGACGACTGGAGCGATGAAACACACTGTGGTGAGACACATGTTTTTGTTTTATCTGTTGTGGGGTCCACAGTTTTTTTTAAATCTTGTGGGGACCTACACACAAGTCATTAAAATGTAAATCGGAACCACGTGGAGGTTTGGGGAGAACACTCAGATTTTTGTGCTATAAAAAAAATAACATTCTTCCAGACTGTATCCAAGGCCGAGTAAATATGAACTAATAATAATAAAAAAAAGGTCAAACAAAGAAGAATTTGTGGATAACTTGAAGGGTAAATGAAAAAGTTGAATACAGTTCTTAGAATAAAACAATTAAAAAAATCTGATAATTCACAAATATAAAACTTTAGTTTGTTTGGGACTTTTTGGGTATGTATAATATATCCATGTGAATTATTTTATTTGTTATGAGTGTGTAGATCTAAAGGAAAATGTACAACATTTTTTTTTAAAAAGGGTATAGATTTAATAAACTAAAGCTTTGGTGTGTTACTACTTAAAATAATAACAACATTTCTATATTTTTAAGTTTATTCTAGTTTTTGAAACGTTTAAAATGACTATAATAAACCAAACATTGCTTCATTGTAATGGGAACTTCTTTAAAAAAAACAGCGGTACATTTTTACGCCCGTTGTCGTGGCGACGATGTGATTGATTGGCGGCGAGAGTTCCGGAACTCTGAGCGGTCGTCAAGGTGACGAGAGAACACTTCCAGCCTATAGGAGAGCGGAATGCAAAGAGAGAGAGTTCCATCTCTTTGTTCTGATAATGTCTCTCGCCCTCTCGCTGACCTCTGATGATGTTTAGGAACAAAACACATAGAGATAAAAGAGGGACGGACGGTATTGTTCTCGCACGATAAAATAACGAGACGAAAAACAAAAAAAGACAAATAAGAACGATTTAGGAATGAAGTTAGTTGACATTTTCATGCTCTAGAAAAATCTGAAAACAAATTATATGTGAAAGTTACAGAAACATTTCCAAAACATATTGAAAAATGTCTGAAACATGTGTGCAGAACGTTAAAGAAAATAATATATTTTTTTTACAAAAAACGTACGTAAAATGTGCAAAAGGTCCAAAAAATATATGAAAATTAATCTGAAACATTTACGAAACCTTCATGAAAAATAAAATATACATGTGATAAATGTCCAGGGTCTAAGATGATGGGTTTAGATATATATATAATAATATATTCCACTTAAAGGTGGGGTAGGTAAGTTTGAGAAACCAGCTCGAGATCGCTAGAATTTGAAAATACACAACCGGAGAAAATCTGCCACTTCCTTACAGAGCCCCTCCTCCAACACACACGAACGCGCACATGACCAATGAGGGCACGAGATAAGTTTGTGCACAGATGGAAGGCTGACAGGCAGGTAGGCCATCCAGTTATTTTAGCCGGGCCGGCTCAGATGATTGGTCGTGCTTTTTACAGTATTACGGCTTCCACAGATGATATTTTTTTATGGATTTTTTGTCAAAGCACTTCAGATATTCATTGCTATCGGGATGTTAAGAGCATTCCATGGAATATAACAAAAAGTGTATCTCGAGCCGGTTTCTCAAACTTACATACCCCACCTTTAATATGAAACAGAGAAGCTGATATGATCAGAGGCTGAATCTGAATCGAAATACATGTTTTCTTTCAGTTTGTTCAGAGTCTGAGTTTCGCTGTAACACCGGTCGCTGTATCTCTCCTGAGCTGCTGTGTGACCGATATGATGACTGTGGAGACCTGAGCGACGAACTCAGCTGTGGTACACACACACACACACACTCACACACACACACACACACACACACACACACACACACACACACACACACACACAGTAATACACGCAGTAATACACGCAGTTAAACACACTTTTAGTGACGCAGTTAAGCAGCAAGGGAATCCACCACCTGTCTATCTGCCCACACACACACACACACACACACACACACACACACACACACACACACACACACACACACACACACACACACACACACACACACACAGTATCATGTTTTGGGGGTTTCTTGTGTCTGTCAGCTGTTAATCTTCTCCCAACGAGGAGTGCTTTTATTTTGGTGGACGGCTACTCTAGAAGTTTAAGATTCACTTAAATAACTTTAAATGATATCCGTTGTAAAGTTAAGTGTGGTTATTTATGAAAATGGTAGCTTAGTATTGGATTTAAAGACAAAGAAAGCTTAAGGATAACATGTTAAAGTGAAAACAGTTACTTCTTACATGGTTTTGAGATGTTATTAGAGGAATGAAACACACAGAATACGATCAACGTAAAACAAACAACACTATAATGTTATATATTTGTGTGTGTGTGTGTGTGTGTGTGTGTGTGTGTGTGCGTGTGTTTGTGTGTTCAGTGTGTAACCTGTCTCTGGAGCACCGCTGTGGTGACGGACGCTGTGTGTCCAGAGACTGGCTCTGTGACGGAGACCACGACTGTCTGGACAAGAGCGACGAGGTCAACTGCTGTGAGTGAAAGTAAAAACGTATCATCAGAAATATACAAAAACTGCGATTAGGCGCCGTTATCAAGATGCTGAAAATGTAAATATATGTAACTGAAACACACCTTGTTTTATAGGGAAGCCACATCTAGATTATTTACAGCACTTGCCTTTTGTCAGACGAATGCATTTTAAACTTTAGATAACAACTTATTAATCAAAATGATGGAAGTTAAAGGTCCCATGTCATGGCCATTTCTACTGATCATAATTCCATTGTTGAGGTCTACTAGAATAGATTTACATTGTTCAATGTTCCAAACTCACATTGGTTTCATACAGCATCTCTGTAAACTACGTGTATTCACTCTCTGTCCTAAACGGCTTGTTGGAGCTCCTGCCCCCCCCCTCCCTGTGAGCCCACTGCTCTGATTGGTCGGGACGTTGAGAGGCTCGTTGCTGCGATCTGCGAGGAGCGGACAGGTTTCCGGGTCGGCGATACAGCTAGAACAAGCGAAACTCATCCTGAGCTCACACAAACACTCACAGCCGAAGTAAAACCAATAAGTGTGGCTTGATATTGAGTAAGAGGTTTATAACGCTGTGAGAATGGGTCTGCGGAGAGCATTTCTCCACCATCCCAACTTAGTAGCCCGAAAAACGTTTACCCATTTAAACAGTCGTGGTAGATACCTTGTTTGTTTTAAACATCATAAATACACAAACAACAATGAATACTTACAGGTTGTGTACCCGAATCTCCCGCTGGTCCAAATCGTTCTTCAGTGCCCTACGCTGTACATATCAGCCATGAATCCTGAAAGGTTTTGGGAAGCTTTGTTTCGTGAAAGGCTGGCAGAGGGTGTGGCCTCTGGGTAACCCCACGTCAGAGTACCCAGGAAGAAAATGAGAAATCTCCAACGAGGCGTTTTGGGGCAGCATAGACTGTGTTAGAGTTTTACTCGCTACAGGGTGTACTTTGAGGGTTTGTGACTCTGCAGACCGTTTACATGCAGACAAACCTTCATAACACACAAGGGGACGGGTCATAACCGGAAAAGCATGACATGGGACCTTTAAAACTAGGATGGAAACTATGAAGTGAGGATGAGCTGAACAGAACATCTGGTGCTTAAAAGCCGCTCCAGCTTGTTTGTATCTGTCAATCTTCATCAAATATTAAGATAATAAATCTGACAGTTTCCCTCCTCTGAGAGAAACTGACAGACGTTCTCAGTCACTGATGATTCACTGACTTTGGGAGCAACAACAGAATAAAGCCGAGCAGCGTCAGGCTGTTATTCCTGCAGTCAGTTCAGCTTTCTGAGTGACGCTCCGTCAAAACACCCCCGGACAAAATGATCATGTGAATAAATGATTCATGTTTGTTTTTTGTTAAATTGACTTTCTTTGTTGAGTTGAACTCGTTAGCGTCGCTCTTCCTTTGTGTACAGTTTTTTGAAAGCAGGGTTTAAAAAAAGCCTAACACCAACAAATGAATACTCGTGTTTTAAAAACAAACATACCAATTAAGTGTGTGTGTGTGTGTGTGTGTGTGTGTGTGTGTGTGTGTGTGTGTGTGTGTGTGTGTGTGTGTGTGTGTGTGTGTGTGTGTGTGTGTGTGTGTGTGTGTGTGTGTGTGTGTGTGTGTGTGTGTGTGTGTGTGTGTGTGTGTGTGTGTGTGTGTGTGTGTGTGTGTGTGTTGTAGCGTGTAAGAGTCAGGGTCTGATGGAGTGTAGGAACGGAGCTTGTATCCCGTCGGCGTTTCGATGTGACGGCGAAGACGACTGTAAGGACGGCAGCGACGAAGAGCACTGCAGCAAAGAGAGTGAGACACCTGTCTGTCTGAACACCTGTCTCACCTGCCGTCTTCTTCTGTGGTTCTGATTGGTTCTGTGTGTTTTCCAGATCAGGGTGTGTGTCCTCCCGGTCAGCCCAGCTGTATTTCCACTTCCTCCTGCGACCCTCGGAACAACAACAACAACAGTAACTGCAGTAGGTCCTCACTTTGATTTAAATAAAACAAGGGTCCCCACTATGGCACCTAAACAGGATCATTCAATTTGTTTGTGTTTAACTACTTGTACATACTATATATTATTAATGATAGCTTTTATTGAATTGAAAATGCAATTTTTTGGTATTTGTTCTTGGATTTTCTGCAATAACTGCAGTAGGTCCTCACTTTGATGTAAAAAACACATGCTCCCCACTACGACACATAAACACGAATATTTAACTTTTTTGTATACATTACACATGTAATATCAGGTATTCACAATGCGTTATTAATAAACTATTACAATACCAGAGGCATTTGTTGTGTGCTATGTTATGCTTTAAGTAGTTTAATTTTCCAAAAAATGTGATGACCTCTATAAATTCCTCACATGGGGTGCACATATTCCTTATAATTCATCCTAATCTTCCTGTTTCCCCCTCAGCGCGATGCGAGGCCATTTCTCTGGAGCTTTGCATGAACCTCCCGTACAACCAGACCATCTTCCCCAACTTCCTGGGCCACCTCTCCCAGAGAGAGAGCTCTGTTTCCTGGGAGTCGTCTCTGTTTCCCGCCCTGGTTCAGACAGGCTGTCACCCCTTCCTCATGTTCTACGCCTGCACGCTGCTGGTGCCAAAGTGTGACCCGGTGACTCTGCAGAGGGTCCCACCATGCAGGTAAACTGCTTTAAATAACCAATTATACTTTATTAAACACCATGTGACCCGGTTACCCTGCAGAGGCTCACAGTGTGTGTTTATTTATTTAGATTTTGTATTTATTTAGTCTGGATATATTTCATTTGTATTGGTGAAGTTTTTACATATTTAGTTTTAAAATGTATATATATATATAAAAATATTTGTATGTATTCAGTTTGAATGTATTTAGCTGTGTTTATATATTTTTAAATGTTCTGTTTTTATTTCATTAGTAATCACCGCCTTGCTGTATGTTATCTTTTGTATATTATATTTGACTAAGTCTTTACTGACTTCTCGCTGGTCTTTTATATTTTTAAATATTATTATATATTGTTATATATTACTAATGTTTCTTTCCTGATGCTGAGTTTCCGCGCCGGTTTGTCTCTCAGGTCTATTTTATATTATTATATATTAATATTATAATATATTTGTATGTCCCGTCAGGTCTCTGTGTCGCGGTGCGAAGGAGAAATGTGAGTCTGTGCTCGGCATCGTGGGCCTGCAGTGGCCGGAGGACTCGGACTGCTCTCAGTTTCCTGAGGAAGGAGGAAACGTCAGCTGTTTGCTGCCGGAGGACGGAGTGGACGGTGCGGACTGATTATATTTTATATATTTTATCATTTGTTTATCTTTCAGTATAAAATATTTTATTAGATTTTTAAATGTTTATTCTTTTGTCTGATTGATTTTTAGATTAATCATTTTCTTTGTTTATTTATTTATCTCTGCATCTTTTTTTAATTTGTCTGTTTATATGTTTTTCTTTTATTTATTTGTTCGTTTTTCTGTTGTCCTTTAAAAAAACAATTAATTTATTTTTTAAATGATTTGTTTGTTTAATTTTGCCTTTTTTTCTTTCACTTCATTAGGTTCAGTCATTTTTAAATATTTAATGTTTTGTTTCTCTGTGTGTCTTATTCTTATCATATTCTTCCCTTAGCAGTAACATAATCAGAATAATAAAACCAAAATATTTTTCTTCTCTTTGTTTGTTATTGTTGTTGTTGTTGTTGTTTGTTGTTGCCGTGGTGACAGAGTGTTCTCCGAGTCACTTCAAGTGTCGCTCCGGTCGCTGTGTTCTCTCGTCGAAACGCTGCGACGGACACCTGGACTGTGAAGACCACAGCGACGAGGACAACTGCGGTACACACACAGACACACACACACACACCACACACACACACACACACACACACACACACACACACACACATACACACACACACACAGACACACACACACACACACACACACACACACACACACACACACACACACACACACACACACACACGCTGTATCATGTTTTGGGGTTTCTTGTGTCTGTCAGCTTTTAATCTGCTCCCAACGAGAACGACAGACAAATACAAATTACTAATGCTTGTGTGTTTGTGTGTTTGTCTCTGTGTGTGTGTGTGTGTGTTTGTCTCTGTGTGTGTGTGTGTGTGTGTGTGTGTTTGTCTCTGTGTGTGTGTGTGTGTGTGTGTTTGTGTTTGTGTGTTTATGTGTGTGTGTTTGTGTGTGTAGGCTGCAGTGAACGCGCTCTGTTTGAGTGTCCGGGCAGTTCGGTGTGTATTAAACACAGCATGATCTGTGACGGTTTCCCAGACTGCCCCCTGCTGGTGGATGAGGCCAACTGCAGTGAGTCTCTTTTATTATTAATATTAAAGACTGAAGGGCATTCATAATACATATAAGTGTGTGTGTGTGTGTGTGTGTGTGTGTGTGTGTGTGTGTGTGTGTGTGTGTGTGTGTGTGTGTGTGTGTTAATTGACATCCGCTCTGCAGTCTCTGTAGAAGCTTTTAAAAAACAACTGAAGACCGATCTTTTTACATTGTCTTTTGTGTCTACTTGAGATGTGTGTGATGATGTTCTTATGTTTGTTCCTCTGTGCTTTGTTTTTATGTTGACCTTGAATTTCTGCCTCATGTTGTTATT